TAAGATTTAAATATGAGAAATAACTAGGGGTGTGCTACTTATTTTTAAAACCATTAGGAATTTTTTTGCATAATGACATTTTCAGGGCAATTTAAAGAACAAGAAATAAAATAATACGAATATTTAGCATAAATATTCAGCAAATAATAAAAATGAAGCTTATTTTATGCTAAATATTTCTTGTAATTTTGTCTTTAAGTCCTTTAAATTGTTATGAAACATTCAGTATGCAAAAACTATCAATAGCTCTGAAATGTGCTTCATTTTCTTGTGGTCATTAAGATTTTTATCCATAATGAAAATATAATACAAATATATATATAACAAAAGTAGTTTATACAAAACATGCACTACATTCTAAATAGGTGATTATCAGTAAATAACGACTTGAATTTTGGCCTGTTCCTCACACAGAGCAATTGTATGGCTTTAGAAGACTTGTGATATAGTGTGCAAGAAGATGTTTTTGTCCCCCTCGCACTTTGGAACAGAATTTGAGATTGACCCGATAGACTTTGACACATTTTCACTGCAGCCATAGCTGTGCAACACCTGCTGCGCTCCTATTGACAGCCATCTCACCTTGTTTCTCACAGCCAGATCGAATCAAACAGTTTGGTTCCGTGACCCGGGAACATGAGGGCAGGAGAAGGGATGTACCCTACCGCACTGGGCTGGGTCTGGAGGAGCTCAGGGCTGACTCGGCCAGGCGGCTCAAAGAAGAGAGACCTCCACAAGCAGCAAAGGAGACAGCACCCCCTGAGAGACCTCGTGTTGCTTTCCAGTCCCCATCTATAAACCACAACACTGTCTTAAGCCGGCTGGCTAATACATCAGGCCTTGGTCTGGAGGCTGGAGGCTTTGTTACTGAAGACAATCACAGAAGTCTCTCAAGAACCCTGGGGGAGATAGTTGCCCCAAGGTTTGTATTAGATTTTGTGTTATGTTCTTAGATTTTGCACTGAAATAACAAAAATTAATGTTTAATTAATACATGTTTAATGAAATATGTCGGTTCTCTGATATCAGAATTACAGGTGTGCGTCCATTGGGTCCCTCCCTCACTGACTCCTATCAAACTCCTTATGATAATGTGTATTACTATTATGGAACTAGAAATCCTCTAGACCCCAATCTGGCCTACTGTAAGTAGCTTATTTTTGCTTTAGCATCAAATTTGGTTAAACGAAATACATCTGTGCTAATGTATGTCATTATCTGTATCATTTATTGATATTTGTGTGGTTGGTCAGCAGTGTTGGGGAAAGTTACTTTACAAAGTAATGCATTACAATATTGCGTTACTCCCTAAAAAAGTAACTAATTACTTTTGCGTTACTTGTTTTTCTTGTAAATTAAAAAAGTAATGCGTTGCTTTACTAGTTACTTGAAAAAAGTAAGCTGATTACGTAACTCGCATTACTTGTAATGAGTTACCCCCAACACTGTTGGTCAGTATGAGTAGTGTTAATTTGTTTCTGCAGTGGTTGCGTTATAGTTTGGAGTCCCTGGCTATTTTATGATGAATGTAGCTGTTGACTGCATGTTTAATGTGATTTGTTTGTTTTGTTTGTGTTAGATGGACCAGCAGTGGGTCAGCAGGCACACATCCCTCCAGAAGCACAGTGGCCCGTTCTGCAGCCTCCCTCAGGAGGCCTCACAAAGTAAGCACATGTTTTCGTACAAAACCTCAATTATTTAGCTTCAGAGTTTAGTAAGTCACATGACAGGGATTTTACAATGTGTTTGCAAGTGGCTTCTTCAATCAGAGTCAGAGCTGTCATTTAGTTGTACCTCATTTGAAACAATGCACATTGAAATGACAATATGAATTATATACTGAGGTACCAGTAGGGGGCACATTTATTCAGATATAACAGAATACAACAGAAAACATAATGCTCATCTCTGTCTCTCCATAGAGCGATCAGCCATGCTGGAGTTGTTCCTTCAGGACCAGCGTTCTTTCCTCCTGAGAGGCTGCAGCAGGCCAAGGAAAGTGCTGTTAGCTATCAGGAAGCCCTGAAGCAGCAGGTACTCTCTCAATGATTTATGAGATGGGATGAATTAATTATCATGCCATAGAAAGGGTGCAAATAATTTTAATTTCATTTATGGAAAGGTGTAGTAACAGGGTTACACAGCTTTACATTTTAATCACCAATGTATTAATTTTTAATTTTTTAATTAACAGTTTTATTACTACAATGAATTGAATATTAATTACAGATTATGTCAGAATTGTGACGTCAAAACCTCAGACATTGAACCAAAATCGTGAAGTCATTTAAGGAGTGATGATACAGATACATTTATTAAAACTAGCTACTTTTCAAGATATTATTAATTAAAATGAAATAATTTATTAAATTATGTTAGATGAAAGTTCATTGAGTGAACACTACTGTTCAAATGCTTGGGGTTGGTAAGATTTTTTTTGAAGGAAGTCTATTATTCTCACCAATGCTGTATTTATTTGATCAAAAATTCAATAAAAACAGTAATGTTGTGAAATATTATTACAATTAAAAAATTAAAGAACACTTAAAAATGGGTTTCTGTTGTAATATATTTTAAAAATGTAATTTTTTTTTCTGTGATGGCCAAGGTGAGTTTTCAGCAGCCATTGCTCCAGTCAGAAACCATTCTTGTTGCTAAAGAAATGTGTCTTATTATTTTCAATGTTGAAAAAACGCGTGCTGCTTAATATTTTGGCTATTATACACACTTTATTTTAAGATATTAACAAACCATTAACTACGACTTTTGCCTCAATAAACTCCTAATTTGCTGCTTATTAATAATTAGTAAGGTAGTTGTTAAGTTTAGGTATTGGGTAGGATTAAGGATGTAGAATATGGTCATGCAGAATAAATGCTTTATAAGTACTAATAAACAACCAATACGTTAATTATAGGCATGCTAATAAGCAACTAGTTAATAGTGAGAATTAGTCCCTATACTAAAGTGTTACCAATATTTTTTGTTGATACTTTTTTCAAGAATCTTTGAATAGAAAGTTCAACAGAACGACATTTATTTGAAATAGAAATCTTTTGTAACATGTGAATGTCTTTACTTGTAAATGTCACTTTTGATCAGATTAATGCATCCTTGCTGAACAAAATGATACATTTCCTTATCCTTTTCAGAAAAACAGTTATTGACCACAAACTTTTGAATGGTACTGTACCTAATAGTTTTCTATGGAAGCCCGTTTCCGCCACTGAATAATAAAAAAAAGACTTTTTTCTCAGAATTGCGTGATATAAACTCACAATTGCGAGATATAAAGTCACAATTGCGAGATTAAAAACTCGCAATTCTGACTTTTTTTCTCGCAATTGCAAGTTTATGTCTCGAAATTCTGACTTTATAACACGCAATTGTAAGTTATAAAGTCAGAATTGCGTGATATAAACTCGCAATTGCGAGTTAAAGTCCAATTTTGAGGGGGGGGAAAGACTGATATGTTCTCAGAATTGCGAGTTTATATCTCACAATTCTGACTTTATAACTCACAATTGCGTGTTATAAAGTCAGAATTGCGAGTTTATATCTCGCAGTTCTGACTTTATTTCTTAGAATTGCGAGTTTATATCTCACAATTATGACTTTTTAACTCGCAATTGCGTGTTATAAAGTCAGAATTGCGAGTTTATATCTCGCAGTTCTGACTTTATTTCTTAGAATTGCGAGTTTATATCTCACAATTATGACTTTTTAACTCGCAATTGCGAGTTTGTATCACGCAATTATGAGAAAAAAAGTCAGAATTGTGAGATAAAGCACAATTACCTTTTTTATTTTTTATTCAGTGGCGGAAACGGGCTTCCATAGTTTTCTGTACAAAGCAAAACAAAATAATTTTGTATCTCATATGCTTTTAAAAATTTTGTGAGACATCAAAACGTACCCTATTAATGAAAATTGGTGATATACTGTTGCAAAGCATAAATGTTATGAAGTGATTTGCTTGATTTGGCCATAGGTTTAGGTTCAGCTCAGCGGGATGTCAGATGATATCTTTATATCATAATGGCTGTGGACACATTTGAAGGACTTAGGGAGGACAAATTTCATTACCTCCTCTATTTCCTCAGGGGAACTTTGATACTGAAAGATATATAGCTAGAAAGATGTTTGTTTAACTGCCTGGTTGCAAGATCATTGAGTCTGAAATAGTGCAGTGAAGGGTTTGAATGCTAATCCGTGTTAAGTTTACCAAGAACTTCAACAGTCTGACAGGAAGAGATCTGAGAGGAATCCGCTATTTCCCACGGCAAAGGGAATCTAGAGGCAGATCAGGGTTAGTTTAAAGTGGTGAACTGAAAGTTTGAACTTTCCTCCTCTAAGTGTACTTAAAGTCTGATTACAACATGTTGAGTAGTACTACGTTGATTTTGATGTCACATTCTTACAGTATCTGACATTGAGTTTTTTTTTTCTCAGGCAGGCAGCAAAAATCCTTTTTTTCATCTATTTAGTTATTTGTAGATTGAACAGCAAAAAAAAAAAATTTTTTTTGATTTGTGGAAATGTCAGATATGATTTAAAGTTGTTTTTGTTTTTTATTTGGGATTTGAACAACAAATCAGACGATGTGCAGTGTGAACAAAGCCTAATTGTCTAAATTGTGGTGCACAGATTCAAGAACGACAGCAGAGACGGCATCGCGAGAAGGTGGAAAAAGAGCTGTATGATGCTAAAATAGAGGCTGAGATGAAGGCCTACGAGCCCTGGGGAAGAGCAGGAGGAGGAGCCCCTCTTAGGGATGGTCATGGAAACCTCATCAGTACGCATACAGAGTTCACACTTCACTCGGTCAACTCCCTGTCCACAGTTTAATGAGGCTCCGATCCGCAAATTTTGGGCTCTTAGTGGGAGTACTGCAAAATAAAAAACGTTTAATCAATTAAAAATAATACACTATAATGCATTTTTAAATATTTTATTTAGTATGGTCCTGATTAAGTTATTGTATACTTGACACAGATATTTATATGTATCAGTGTTCCTATGGTCATGGAAATCACGAAAATTTTGAAAAAAGGTCAAGACAATTTTTCAAATAATTCAGCAGCTAGAAACAGTCTTTGTGAGTGTTTACCCAGTAATCATGAATAGCTGGAAAAATCACTGAAAAGTCTCAATGCTCATTGGAGGTACTTATACAGATACAAGGGGTATGTAAAATTATGAACACAACTCGTTTTGTAACACAAATACTGCAGTTCAAAAGTTTTGTTTCTTTTCTTTTTCTTTTTTGAAAGAGGTGTCTTTTGCTCACCAATCCTGCATTGATTCAATTTGATCCAAAATACAGTAAAACAGTAATATTATGAAACATTTTATTTTAATATATTTTAACATGTAATTTATTCCTTTGATGGCAAAGCTGAATTTTCAGCAGCTATTATTTCAGTCTTCAGTGTCACATGATCTTTCAGAAATCATTCTAACATACTGATTTAGTGCTCAAGAAGCATTATTATATTCAATGTTGAAAACAGTTGTGCTGCTTAATATTTTTGTTTAAACCATTTTTTTTCAGGACTTTTCAAAAGAACATTTATTTGAAATATAATTTTTTATAATATTATATTTCTTCTTTACAGTCCCTTTTGAACAATTTAATGTGTCTTTGTGGCATAAAAGTGTTAATGTCTTTCAAAAAAAAAAAAAAAATTCTTACTGACCCCAAACTTTTGAACTGTACTGTAAATCACAATCTTTCCACTTATAGTTGCTCAGTGGTGTCAGTTAATTCACAGATTTTGGATTGGGAACAGAAAATGTATATAATTTGTGTATGCTACATTTTTATCATCAAACTGATACTGAAAATTAATGGTTTAAATTATAGCAATGTCATGTTTTTGTGTTTCCAGGTGATTTGAAACAAATGCATAAAACAAACGTGGAAGCTTATGATTCCGGAGGCAGATTGGCAAGGATTCCAGTGGCTTCTAGAACAGGTGACAGAAATTTACCTCATGCATCAAGTACCATGGCCACAGAATTACAATTTGACTCACAATCACAAAAAGTATGTAACTAAAGTGGAATTTAAATGGAATTGAATTTTTAAATAGCTGCAATGACATGCACTTAGAGCATGTTATTAGCCGGTGGTCCATGATGGTATATATAAAAGGTATTTTTAAAACTAATATAAATTTAGCGAAATGTATATTTTAGAAATTACAAATTATTTACTGAAATATAAATATTTAGAAAAAAAACCCTCTGACTTTGTTTGTGGATACTATCAAAGCTTTTAGAAGCTACAAATAAAAGACCTTTGCATGCAATCCATCCAAATCTTTTCTGCCCCTGTAGAACCTGCAGGTTTTTGTTCTTCTCAGCCATCTGTGAAAGCCCGGGGTAACCTTTTCAATGAACTGCCCACTCCACAGCAGCTCCATGAACAGGAAAAGTACAAGGATTGCTTGAAACAACAGGTACGGACATTCAATCAGCTTTGGATTCTGCTGTCTGTGCTTTCGGCCTGCTGTCTCACTTTGAAATCATCTTTGGGATAAACAGATCGAGGAAAAGAGGAGAAAGGAGGCAGAAGAGAGGGAGCGGCACAGGCTCGAGGAAGAGAAAGAAGACAGGCGGTTGACTGAACAGCGAGCTCGGATCCAAGGGGAGTATGAGGAAGAGCAGGAGAGAAAGCGTCAGAAAGACAAAGAGGTTCTTGTTTTGCAGTTATTTCATGTGAATTGCAAAAACGGCCTGCCGAGAGGAAGATGTATTCACTTTGAAGTGCTGGTCTTGACCCACTTTGAACATATGAGTGTGTTAAGCTTGAAATAGTCTCTCCTCTAAAGCAGGGGTCTCCTACCTTTTTTACTGGGGGGGGGGGATATATAGCCTTAGCCTATGTAGGCCTAAGTATACGCAACTCTGTATTTCCGCGCTGTCTGAAACACATCTCTATGCTTGTGCGCTCTTTGATTGTGTGCGAGCACAGCGCGTGAGTAACGAATTGAGCTCTCTTTCGTTTCTTCTTCTTGTGGTTTAAAATTGCTTGCACGTTCGCATACAAGGAAAATACAGAATAATTAGAACAATCATTAACATAAATAAATAACAGAGTGTCATATCTATACACATTTTTCCCAGAACGTTCTTGCGACCCGGTAGCAATTCTTCCAGTGGGTCGCGATCCGGTGGTTGGGGACCTCTGCTCTAAAGGCCTTCACACAGTGTCCTAACCAAGCGTGACACAAAAAACGGCAAACAATAAAAGCTTTCCCCTTTAATCCCTAATAAACAGCTACATTTGAATGGCTGTCAATGGAAAGATGCTTTTTGCCGTTGTAATGGTGTCATAATACTGTACCAGCAGTAATATTAGAGAAATTTTGGTGAAATTTCACAGCCAAAAAAGGTTTATATCCAATGTCAGTGAAGCACAACTCATGGTCAAGCAAGTAATTTTCTGGCTTTCTGTTAGTCAACGTTGTGAATTCACTTGACCAACTTGAATCCAATGTGAAATCTGTATGGGGAAATTCTATCGCCATCATGTGAAATTCCAGTTTCCTATTGAAATGACGTAGATTCCTATTGAAATGAATGGACAAATGACAGGAAAATTAGATGAACAATGATACAGTGCAATTTGAAAGACAAGGTACAGAACCACAGTATGTGCTTCCTTTCTGTCACCTATTTTATAGCAAATGGCCAAAAATGAGGAGTTGATTAGGCAAGCCGAAGAGCGCCGTAAAGAGGCTGAGAAAATGAGGAAAGAAGTGGAGGAGAAGGAGAACAAAGCCCTGAGAAATAGGCAGGAGAGAGAGAAAGAGACACATCTGGAGGAGGTGAAGAGTGCACATTATCAGGTCTGTTACATTTGTTCATATGCGCACACAATGTGCTGACACATTATTCTCAAATACCAAAAGGTCCACAGGGCACCGTCACCACCCCTACCAGCCTGGCAGAAGAAACTACGTCAGCAGACGCCCAGACCTCCATCGGTGGAGAGCCACTGCTCTTCTGCTACTCTGTCTGTGAGTGACAAATGCGCACAACTATTTCTTGCTTCATAGGCAATCTAATATGGCAACACTTGGGTTTTTCTTCAATTATGGGCACTTTTTTTAGAAAATAAACACACTTTTCACACTCTTACTAGTTTACTTTGTCCATCAAAATGTCCAGTTTAAACATGCATTAACAGGGGAACGGTCTTTTTTTTTTTTTCACTTAAAGTCATGAAAATTATTATTCATATAATAAAAAAATAATAAAACATTTCCAAGACTGTTTTAATGTGATCTTCATATAACAAAATAAAAAGTTACAATTTGTTAATTTTAATAACAAAAATCAACCCCTGCGATGGAAAAATGTCCCCAAAGTTGAAGAAACTCCAGCTTATTCTGGACAACAACCTCAAACTTAGACAGGAACATCTAAATGAATGACATGTAAAGAGACTAATTACAGTTTATTTATTTTTAATTTTTTTCCAAACAGATTCGATCTATGTCAGCACCACATTCTCCCCCAGTGCCTGCCCGCAGGAACGAGATCAGGGCCACAGGTAACTTACATCACATCCTGCTGCCACCACCAGAGCTGTAAAGGACCGTATCCCTGAAATGTGTACTGACTTTGTGTTTTAGAAGAAAAAGATACTGTGATCAGGGAGTTATCGGCCTTGCGTAGGCAGCTGCGGAGTGAACGGAGACGTCTGGAGGGAGAATTGATGCAGTCTAACAGAAATGATCACACCCCTCCTGTTCATAGCAGGTAGCAAACATCCTGCAGACACACATTCAGAACACGTGTGGTTAGTTAGAACCTGTAATGAAGTTCCTTTCCCCCCACAAAAACCCTAAGTGAACAATATTTTCTGGAATAATGACTGCTAAACTGTATATTTGACCATTGTCCTTATTTATTTGGTAAGTAGCCATGTAATATGGGATAATGTACAGTCAACAGGTAATTATCACAAAATAAACCATTTCAGAATGATACTAGATGCTTTGTGTTGGGCTCTTGATCATCCTGGCAAGGTTTATTTTGTCCCTCTGACCCTTATGCCTTACATATTGAACAGGTCAAAAGAGCACCTCCCGGAGGATGTTTTTGAAGTGGCGAGACTTCGCAAACAAGTCCCCAACAGGAGGCCGGCTTCCCACACCACTGCAGCGGTCAACATGCATAACCTGCAGGAGTTTAACCATCTGAAGTACAGAGGTGAATGTGACACAGAATTTCCTGTCTTTTGCTTGAAAAACCTCTCCAGAGCTCGTCAATAGGTCTGTAATTTCACTCTCATAAAGACTCATCACAGCCGTGATGGCTCCCGAAATCCCATTCACCAGCCTTTATTACATTCACATATCCACCAATAGCCACGCTCATTTCCTGTTACTCACGCTCTGATCCTTTGTTAGCTTCTGTGTAACATCAAAAAACTACCATCTGCTCTTCAAACACCTATAATAGTCACACATTACCATACTGGCTAAATGAGTTTAGCAAAATGCTACATGCCAAGATGGCTGCCGAGTGGACTGACTTGCCATAAAAGGATTTTAGGTTTTAGAGTCAAACTCTTATTTTCTTGATCCAGAATGCTGACTGGATGGATGGATAGGTGGATGGATGGAGGAAGTTAATAAAAAGTAGCTATTTGTAATCGAGGTTATTACTGTTAACTACAAATAATTGTTTACATTAAATGAAAGATGTATAAATATTAGAGAAAAACTTTTAAAAACTAAAATGTAAAGTTGAAGTACAAAACTGAAATGGATATAAATTAATGATACATAGAAAAAAAAAACCACATAGTAAAATTACCTAAACTAAAATGAAAACTGAAAATATAAAAGCTAATTCAAAATGTGAATAAATACTGTAATTGTATATAAATAATTCTAAAATAACACATTTTGCAGGGTTGTTGGAGCAGACGCTAATGGATAAGCTAAAGATTAAACAGGAGAATATCTATATGAAACTTAACGTTTTTGAGGCTTTAAATCAATTACACTTTCATCCACAGAGCAAAAACCTCGATATGGCTGAGTGAAACTAGGATTATTTTACGTCTAATGTCCTGATGCTAATATAGTATCAAATGCTAATGTGTTTTCCTAGAGGAATGTCTGTTCCTGTAATGTTGCTTATGAAAATCTTTAACCTTCTCCTCTGCTCAGAAGATGGATTCAACAGCTCTTCCTCTCCATCTGCCCACCTCATGGGGTGAACGGTCGTATCAGTCATCAAACCCCCCAGCAGGACAGAAATGAGTAGCCTCTCTGTGAACCGTGACTCAGCGCTCGGCTCCATGCCCTTGCTTTGTCATGCTCTTTATTTTAGCTCTGATTCTCTCTACATCGCTGTGCCAACTGGTTTGGCCATGGCAGAGCTGCTGTTCTCCTGTCATATGTGATGGACAATACTTCCAACACTGTGCTATATGTGTCAGTGTTTTCTGTGATCGGATAATGTTTGTAAATGTTCCACTCAATATATCTATTCAACATCCCTGCATTATCTTTCAGTGAGGCTGTAGTCCTGGAGGAGAGGATGACTCTTATCTGTGTGTGTTTGTGTTATCAGATGGTGCATCTCGTGAGGAGGTGCGGCAGACGTATCCTGATCCCCCCAGTGATGATCACAGCCTAGATATCCAGCAACAGGCTCTGTTACGCCAACAGCAACGAACCATCAACAGCCTGAGGAGAGGCAGAGCTGCTGGTCAGTCTGTTATTGAGGATGGGCTTTTTTTTTAATTTTTTTACATTTTTGAATAGTATATCTCAATACATTTTGGTATTGGTTAGTATGATTTATTAAAAGAAATGAATACTTTTATTCAGCAAGGATGCATAAAATCAGAATCCTAAAAAAGTGCATCACGATTTCCACAAGAATAAAGCAGCACAACTGTTTTCAACATCGATATTAAAAAGAATAAATATTTCTTGAGCACCAAATCAGCGTATTAGAATGATTTCTGAAGACACTGAAGACTGGAGTAACGGTTGCTGAAAATTAAGCTTTGCCGTCACATTATAATATATATTAAAATAGAAAACAGATATTTTAAATTGTAATAATACCACAACTATAATGATAATACCAAAGAGAAACGATGTTGTTGGTATCACTTTCAAAACGTTTTTTGTTTTTCAGCAGATGAAAGATCAAAACATTGACAGCCAATCAGAATCCATCCTGCTTTAAAGAGCTTGAGTGTTTTAAAGCGGCAGACATTTTAACTGCAATGCGCGTTTATAATAAACAGAACAATATCGTTCATTGATGTGGATGCTAATATAGTTAACGTTATAGTTATCTTTATAGTTGTCGCTCTTGGGCTGAATAGGCCTTAAGAGACTTTCGAAAACATTTAAAGGGGTCATATGACGTTGCTAAAAAGAACATTATTTTGTGTATTTGATGTAATGCAACGTGTTTATGCGGTTTAAGGTTCAAAAAACACATTATTTTCCACATACTGTACATTATTGTTTCTCCTCTATGCCCCGCCTTTCTGAAACGTGTCGATTTTTACAAAGCTCATCGGTCTGAAAAGTGAGGTGTGCTCTGATTGGCCAGCTATCCAGTGCGTTGTGATTGGCCGAATACCTCAAGCGTGTGATGGAAATGTTACGCACCTACCATACTGTGATGCCCTGTCCGGCCGGAGCGACGAGACAAAAAATATTAAAATCCATTATAAAAGAGGCATTTGTTGCATCCAGTGGGGACATAATTACTGATTATAATGACTTATACTGTCTTCTTACGCGTTGCGTATCGCGCTGCGTAAACATAAAACCATGTCTGCATTTGTGATCGGAGAAACGACAAACAACAAGCGCTACTCTACACTGCTCAAAACTCGCGTTTGAATCATCAGTGGCAAATTCTTTAAATATAAAAACGTACTTCCAAGATATGAGTCAAGCGCCAGACTGTCCTTGCAAAGTTGGAATTGCCCCACTTTATAGAAACAGACACCGGCATTGTAGGCTATACTCTCCCAGGAAACAGTCCTCGTCCTCCATAAAATGCGCTGCACACATCTG